TTTTCAGTTCATCGTCAATGTCCGCCAGCAGCAAGGTGAACAGAATTGGACTTAACGAACACCCTTGTCTGACTCCCCTTCCTGTCCAAAATCTCTCTCCCATCTTCTCTCCCACCTTTACTCTCCATATCGTCTCCCCCAACAGTTCTTTACACCTCTCCACCAAGCCCTCCCTTACTCCCCTTTTTCTCATGGCTTCCACCAGAATCCTCTTGTCCACCGAGTCAAAAGCTGCTTTTAAGTCCACGAACATCACCACCATCTTTCCTTTCTTCCCATTTACTTGCCTGTTTATCAGGTAATTCAGTACGTAAATGTTGTCCGTGGTCCCAACGCCTCTTCTAAACCCTGTCTGACTCGGTGGCAGCAAGCCCTTCTCTTCAACCTCTTTCCTCAACCTTTCCGCCAACACGGCAGCATACACTTTGTATGCCGTTTGCGCTAACGTCACCCCTCTGTAGTCCCTCACTCTCTCCCCCTCCCCCTTTTTTTCTATAGGCACTATAATTCCCTCCCTCCAATCTTCCGGCCAACCCTCTCCCTTCCACACTCTATTGCACACTTCCCATAGCCATTCTTTCACTACCTCCCCTCCAAACTTCCAAACCTCATTTGGAATTCCATCACTTTCCATCGCTTTTCTCTCTCTAAGCTTCTTCACTACTTCCCCCACCTCTTCTCTCCTTATCTCCTCTTCCTCCTCCTTCTCCTCCTCCTCCCTCCCCTCCCCTCTTCTTGTTCCCATCACCACCCTCTCTTTCACTCCTCCCAACAGCTCTTTAAAGTACCCATCCCATTCTTGCATACTAATTCCCTCATTCACCCTCCTTCTCCTCTTTCTCTCCCTGTATACCACTTTCCATACCTGCCCCTCCGTCCTGATCTCCTTTACTTCCGCTTCCCATTTCTCCACTTCTCTTCTTTTCTTCCCTTCACATAGCTTCTTGTATCTCTGTTTTTCCTCCCTGTAACTGTCCCCCTCTCCCCCTTCCCTTCTCCATTTCCTTAACATGTTGCCAACTCTCTTTTTTCCTTCCCTACATTCCTCATCCCACCAGCCTCTTCCTCCGCTTTTTTTGCCCCTCCCATTCACTTCCCTTAATACCTCCCTTATCTTCCCCTTCAGCCCCTGCCACTCCTCCTCCACTTCCCCTCCCTGAGTTTGCCTGTCCCCCATTAACTCTCTAAATTTTTCCCTGCCCTCTTTTGACCAGTCTCCTCTCCCACTTCCCCTTATCCATACCTTCCTCCCACCCTTCCACCCACGCCGTCA